GGCGACAGTTCCGTTTGTATTTTATTTAGATGAAGCTTTCCAGCCTCATTTCCACTTAATTGAACTACTGATACTATCATTGATCTTATCTATGTCCCACTTTGAGGCAGAGCAAAGCTCATAAACATAGATGCATTTGACATTATCTCTTCCCCCCCCCCTCTGTACAAGCCCCTGCTTCTCTCTCTCTTTCTGTGAGCCCTAAAAAGCCACGGCTCGGCCTTTTGTGCCGAGCGAGACGCTTCCTGTCGCTTGATGCTGTGTTTGCTTTTCTGAGCCGGCTCCCAGAGAGCTGTTGTTGTCCGCTGCTGTTTTAGCATTCATGCCTCTCCCTCTCTTTCTAACCCTGACCAAATCCCAACCGCCCCCCCCCCCCCCCCCCCCCCCCTCCCCCACCCAACCCCTTCTCTCTCCAAATCACACCCTGAACTACAACATACCTGCGTGGATTAGGACATCTGTTCTCCTCAGATCACCCATGAACGCTGCACTCTGCAATCCCTCCTATCACCTTATTAGTCATTGTGTATCTTTTGGCGCATTTCCACCATGGCGCGGAGCGCGGTTTAAGCGTGCCGTGTCGTGCCGTGCCCGGTTTTGGTTGCGCTTCCACTAGGCCTAGTTACGGCCCGCCCCGGCCCGGGGCCACTTTTTCACCTCTTTTCTGGCCCGACAAAATTGTGGTTCTATCGGGGCCAACAAACAAGGCTGAGTCGGGCTGAGTATGCTAAACTAGAGAGAGGATCGCTGGCAAGGGGGCTACAACTACAACAAGATGGACATATTTGACCGTGATTTAATTGTAATACACGTTTCAAAATGATGCCGAAGTAACAACATACTGATACCGGTTAGTAAAAACCATGAATTAATGCTTTGTCAAGTTTGCAGACAGACGGCAGGCGAAAAACCTTTTAAAATGCGTGTTTTCTAGATGGAGATTGGCTAAGCTAACGCAGTATATGCTCCGACCGTCCACACTCACAACAACGGCCTATACAGACATAAATAAAGCAGCGACTGTATTCACCATGACACAGGCAGTCTGTGGTTTGTACTTGTTTAACTTTTGTCGAGTTTCTGAACATATATAAGGAGCTGTGAGCTCTGAGTGCTAACAGCTAACGGCTGTGTTGTTTTTCTGGGGTTCTCATTGAAGATGACGTCACGGCTCCGCCTACACTGCGTTACTATAGTAACTACCCCAGTTCCTAAACTGTAATGGAAGCGCAGCATGAAGTGAGCCGGCCCTGTTAAGGCCCAACGCGGCCAAGCAGTACCGAGCGTGGCCGAGGCCGACCGTGTGGTGGAAATGCGCCATTTGTCTCAGAGTACCTGGAGTCTCCCCGGCTCCACGGGAACGCATACGGCAAAACGCATCGGAGTAACGCAAACGTAACCGCAAAAAACCTTCCGCCCACACGCAATATACACCGGATTGTGTCAAGCTCCACGAGACGGCTCCGTTCCAACCGCTGGAAAAGCTGCAGTACATATGCCGAACCTGTACGTGGCGCTGTAACTTCCTCCACAAAAGCAGCAACTTCCTCCACAAAAGCAGCGAAGAAGAATGGTTGTCATGGCTGCACTTCTGTTTATTCTCCTTGGTGGGGGCCGACGGAACCGGCCAGAGTTTTTCGCCGGTCAACGTGTGTTAAAGTTTAAATCTTCCGGACAAAATTATAAAAGTGCCGGTCAAAGGTCTTCATTGTTATTTATTGAGCTTTAAAACAAATGAATAACGACGATATAATGATATATAATCATCAAATACACGGAGCCTGTCTCTTTTTCCTCTCTTCTGACAGCGTCAGTGTCTGTCTCATGCAGCAGCTGATCCTGTAATGAGTGACCCGACAGTAAAAATAAACATATTTATAACTAGTTTAGGTAGTTTGAGAGGTAATTAAAATAGCTAAGGGTGATGATCTGACTTGAAGTGTGTGTTTTGCTCCCGCTGCATCACAGCGGGAGGAGCTGCGTGTCTCCGTCCTGTCAGATTAGACTTCACTCGCGTTTATGTCCATATCGAGATAAAGATAAATAATCTGAATTCAGTGTACAGTGTACTTTTGCGGGGGTGAGCAGCAGAGGCGGGGAGAGGCGGGGCTATTGCGTCGTCATTATCAGAAACGGATGACCGTATAGGCGACCACACGGCCCCGTTGGACCCCCCAGAGCGCTCCGTTCCCAGATCTATCCACCTTTGGACCCGTTGTCGTTTGCAGGGTCTGTTTCTACGTTTCCATTACGGCGTCGTCTAGCTTAAAGGGCTATACGCATGAGAAATATGCGGATTCAACCTGTTTTCGTTCCCGTGGAGCCTCAGGCCTAGGCTCGGCTCCATCATTAACCCCCTATCCCTCCCTCTGTGTGTGTGTGTGTGTGTGTGTGTGTGTGTGTGTGTGTGTGTGTGTGTGTGTGTGTGTGTGTGTGTGTGTGTGTGTGTGTGTGTGTGTGTGTGTGTGTGTGTGTGTGTGTGTGTGTGTGTGTGTGTGTGTGTGTGTGTGTGTGTGTGTGTGTGTGTGTGTGTGTGTGTGTGTGTGTGTGTGTGTGTGTGTGTGTGTGTGTGTGTGTGTGTGCAAATACATCACACACACATTACTGATAGAGAGGAGTGGGGAGTTATGAGAGGAATGTGGACTGACAGGACTACACAGGTCGGCCCCACAGAGCCAATAGACAGGAGGTGTCTGATGGAGACGAGACTGGCTCCCAGCCTCTGTTGGGCCAAAACACTAGATGGCCAAAATCTGCTCTGCTTAATAGAAATCACTCTTGGGAGAATATATCATTATAGGAGGTTATTTTTAAATTAGTTTCTTCTGGGGATTGTTTCCCTCAGGATGATCATAAGTTAATGAGTGTGTGATACTTGACTATTAGAGGACAAATAATGGTGAACCTGAACAAAGCCTGAGCCCAGGACTCCATCCTGTTTGGCTTCATTCAGATGAAGCAGCTGCTCTCTCAGATCCCATTGTGACCACACACACTCTGTGGCTTTCCCTAATGACTGAAGTTGGGGAACAATAATTGGCTGATCTCTCCAAACTTATTTAGTAGTTTAACATATCATTGTTTTGCTGTAAGGGATATTAAAACTCTATCCATTTCAGATGTACAGTGGGGAGATGTTTCACAGCAACATTAATGAATATTTAATGATTAAATCAATTAAAACTTTAGATTTATAAACATTAAAAAGACTAAGACTGTACAGCTCTGTTAACACCTGTGGCTAAACTAAAATGACACATTTTTTGCATTTTTGTTCCCATGTTCACCATTTAATTAAGCCTATAAGCATGCTAACATGTACTAATTATTACAAAATTAAGTTGGGAGTATGGCTGACTCCTGTATGTCTGTAACCTTTGCTGTACAAAAGTTTATGTGTGCATTATTACTTAGATTTGAATATTTCAAAAGCTACTAGGGTTCATCCTGTGACAACCATACATGTCTGACATCCACACAGCTATATATAAGTTAAGGATTACATGGAGCTTTAGGCACATTTAGAAACTAATGACTAAAGCGATTGTCAGTTTATAGCAGCATGAGTAAGAACTCCACAACAACAAACCACTTTTTGGTGTTGAGGTGAGATTTGCATCGCCTTGAAACTAGAGATAGTGTTAAACTGAAATAACGATGAGTGAAGGCAATCGGTAATGACAATCTGTCAACAGGTCATAGGAGCTCAGGGGGATATTCATTACTGCAGCCTCTTAGATCTGTGATTTTTAATTTGTGTCCTCAGGAGCCAGAGCTCTGCTGTTTCTCTGTCCTATCACCAAGTTAATTACATTCCCCATGGCGTCACCTGTATGACTCAGTCACTGGTTGGATTAGCTCGGGTCCACAGGGCCAGCACTGAAGAGCACTGTAGAGCAACAGCAAACACCTCATGGCTGCATGTCCTTAGCATCTTACATACAGACTTTCTTTATCCTAAACAATTAAGACAATGTGTCTATTCTCCTCTTGAAAAGTATGCTTCAAAGGGAAAAGTTGAACTGTTCTATGTTTTTCTCGAATGGACTCCTAGTTTACTTCTGTAACAAAGTGGAATCACTATGTCAGAGCAGACTGGGCTGTGGTTTCAGACAGAGGGTGAAAAGAGATGCTGCAACACAGGCAGTAGGAGAAAAATAAAGAGCTTTTTGAACATTAAAGCATGGAGACATGTCACAGTAGAGACACAAGATACTAATATGAACCTGAAATGAGCATAATATGTCCTCTTTAAGTGGCATAATGGCATATCTAGAGGAATGGTTATGTTGATTTTTCAGTTTGTCTGCCCTTTTGGTGCAGGCAAACCATCTCACCAACTTTTGAATGGATCACAATGACATGTTCTACTTAAATTCCTGATCACCAGAGGATACACTCTATGGATTGTAGTGGTCCCTTGAAGCTGCCAGTATGTGTCTAATGATTTAGATGTACTTTTTGTAAGAACTAAATGATTTAGTATGTAGAAAATAATCAAATGTATCCGAAATACACAGGAAATACCTTATCTATCTTATCTGGCCTGCAATGCCAAACAATGGCCCAGAGGAAGTCTTTCCTCCATATGTTCTACTTTTATCAGACCCTGAATACTCTGTGTAGTGTGAGGTGTCAATGCACACAAAATCACAACAGACCGTAAGTGCTGCTATACACGTTTTTCAACCAGAGAAGAGATCTGAGAGAGCATCGGAGGCTTAAATGGGTTGTAAGGAGAAGATTATTTACTTACTTCCCCCGAAGGAAACACGACCAAGGTTTAATGGACTGAACAGAATATTATAGCATTCGATTCTAATTTCCATGTTTTCTCTTGTTGTTCTATGACTTAATGGCTTTTTCATGGCCTGTTCATGTTGTAAAGAGGCTACTTGCTCACATTATGGGCACTTTAAGCTCATTATGTATGATATTGATTTGTGACTTCTATGTTTTTTCCTCTGCTGTTTGCTTCCTCTTCTGTTCTCACTCTACAGAATATTGATGTTACCAACTTCAGCAGTAGTTGGAGTGACGGCTTGGCTTTCTGCGCCCTCTTACACACATATCTGCCTGCCCACATCCCGTACCAGGACCTCATCAGTCAAGATAAGGTAGACAAATATAGAAAGATCGCACACACCCTCAAGTAATATCCTCACACTTACAGTTTGACAGGTGGTTCAGTGCATAGATGGGTTACAGAATTGGGCCTACCTGGAACTGTCCCAGGGGCCAAAAGTGTCAGGAACCCCCCTGGGCTCCACCTATAAAATATCTCTGAAAGAGTCATGAATATACTCAAAATGACATCAAACAAACATAAAAGAGAGACAGATAAGCTGCAAAGAGACCAAAACAACAACAAATAGAAACAACATTGCTGCAAAGAGACTGAAAACGACTACAAAGAATTACAAAACAAATACAGAAAGTGATCAGAAATACACTAAAACAATTACTGTACAATGTGACAGAAAACCACTGCAAAAAATCACAAAGCAACACAAAATGAGAGCTAAACAACTAAATAATATGTGTTTTGCATCCGTGTAGGAGAGTCTGTGGGGCCTTCTGAATGCCCAGGGACCCATTATCTCCATTGGAAACTTTCCACCCTCACGCCTCACGCCTCACGCCTCACGCCTCACGCCTAACGCCTCACCAGCAGTTATACAATTCAAAAAGCGCACAATAAAACTGATTGGAAATAGATGTATTTATAGAATACATGTAAAACACTTCTCATGCACCGAGGCTCTCTCCTCAATGTAGTCTTTCCATACATCTCCTACTCTAAATGCAGACTCACTTGTAAACTATGGTGGTGAGCCGCCATACTCATACATCTACATGCTAGCTATCCCGTTCATATCAGTTTGCAACAGAACAGTGAAGTCACTCACATGTATTGTACAGAGCATAGTGTAAATGTCACAGAGCCCCAAAAAGGTTACCACAACAATGACTGGATGCTTAGCTGACAAAATGATTTCCTGTGTAGGAGGTTGAATTGTTAAAGATGAATCCCGAGAAAGCATTGTTTAGTACGGTAGACTCTTCACAGTGTCTTTGAGGAACTCTACCTTCAAGGAAGTAAAGTTGAGTACAGCAAACAAGTTGCAGACTCAGTGTCATGGTGTCCTCTCCCCAACTTGCAGACGTGTGTCTCCAGAAAATACCACACATAAAGCCACAGCAAGTTGTTGTGGAAAACGTGTAAACTGTGAAAACGGTCTGAAAATGCACGTTTACCAAGAGACAAATAAAATCTCTGTAATGCATGGAAGCCATTTTCCACCATTAAACTGTGCTAAATTGACTTCCTTTATGAGGCTGTAGACTATAGGTCTGCCATAATACCCACACAGCATTAAGAGCAGCCTGAAGATTAATTATGGATGTTGGTGATCCTGAGGATGGCAGGCAGGAGACACGCTATAGCTGGGTGCTGACAGCTCTGTCATGTGGACATGCAGGTGGTTTGGAACTGTACAAACAATATGGCTCCTCTCGCCGCGGCTCTTTCAGCTTGCTATGATATTAAAACAATAGACACACACCTCTGACACATCCTACGTGACAAATGAGTCATGTAGGCATGTGCATCGTTTTGTTGGGGTGAGTGTGTGACATTGTGCTGATGATAGAGACTTCTTTCTGAATAATTCAATAGAAGCATGTTGGCTGTAATAACTCGTGCTGAGTGACTTTTCCTGAGGCCCAAACACTGTAACCTTTTCCCAGAATAATATGTCCTTCGGATGATTCCATTACTTCCATCCTTTACTTTTATAAAGGTGTTAGAAAACAATTTTATAGTCAAACTAATATTTTAGGTGAAAGATAGGTCATATCAATATCAATTCATCATCAGAGTTGTGATGTCTAGTTTCTTTTGAAGAGAATAGTTGGGAATTTTGTATATGGGGTTAGATGAGGTACTAATCCATAATGTATTATGTACAGTATATGTAATTGTTGTTGACTGTCTCAGAAGGAAAACTTTTAGCAACCGAGAAAAATCAATATGAATGTTATTGTACGCTATGTTTAGAATACTTTCCCCACTTTAACTTGCTGTGAGACAGCCTTTCGACTACTGAACTGACGCCATCATTGCATCTATGCTTTCCTTAAAGCTCCTAGACTCGTTTGAGTTCTGCAAAGTAAAACTATTGTTTTTGTCAAAGGAGTCTTGTGGCTTTTAAGAGAAGGAGAGAGAGAAAGCGAGCATTATATGGGTTTTTGTGCATGTAAATGGTCTGCAAAGGCTAAAATCCCAAAGGGAGTTTCTCTCCCACACTGCTGAATTTTGAACATTAAAGCATGTCACAGTAGAGGCAAAAAATACAAATATAACATCAAACTGAGAATTATATGTCCTCTCTTCAAAAACACAACTTAAAGAAGGACTGAAAGAGCATTTATATCAACAGTGCTCCAGTAGGAGGACAGTTTGAATGTTAGGTTTTGATTTCTCGCTTTTTTTTCTGTGTGTGGCTTTAGTCCACAGTTTCAAAATGAGGTATATGGCTGAATATAAAGGAAGGCAGTTCATGGGGATGTTAATTAGGCTCAAAGTATATATATGTCTCTTGAGTGTTGGTAAGGGTAATACATTTATTTCAGGGCTAATTGTTGCTTCTTGCAGCCCCATGTGTGTTGTTGCAGGATGATGGGGCGCAGTGAGTCTCACAGAGTCTAAATGGTTTGTTTTTCTTCAGGTTCGAAATCTGACCTTGGCTTTCCAGGCCGCAGAGAGCATCGGGATCAAACCCTCTCTGGTGAGTTTTGCTGCCACAGACCTCACATACACACTCGGATATCAAACAGAGGCCCTTTGATTAGACAAATTGGAAGCAGAACTCTTTAATTTGTCAAACTTGTGGGATGCTTCAGAACTGAGATACCCAACAAACATCATTCCTCCTGACTGTCTGGAGCCTTGCTGTGTCCTATCCGTTACCCAGAGAGATCTCAAAGACCGTGTCCTGGAAATCTGATAAATAAAAAACAAACCTGAAACGTAATTCAGATACAGTTTGACTTTGATAAGCTAAGATGTGAAAACATCAGCGGCTTCGTCACAACTGGCTGAGTAACGACCAGCTGCTCCACGTGAAAAAATATTTAGATTTGGTGAGCACACAAACCGTCCATGTTTTCTCATGCCGTAAACAACGTGACTTAAATATATTTATTTCAAGTGAAGCAGTGCAATGTGCTTACGGCAGCAAATGTGAAGGTGAATTTGTATCTCTTTTAGGAGTGTTAACATGTTTGGCAAATAGGTTCGTTCTTTCTAAAGTTTAGAATACAAATACATACATACATACACTCTTATATCTTATATTTAGCTAAGCACAATGACTGAAAGCAGGGGTAACGCTTAGCTTAGCATAAGGACTGAAAGCAGGGGTAACAGTTAGCTTATGTTAGCATAAGGACTGAAAGCAGGTTTAACATTTAGCTTAGTTTACCATAAGGACTGAGCAGGGCTAACATTTAGCTTAGCTTAGCACAAAGACTGAAAGCAGGGGAGAAATTAGCTTGGCATAAGGACAGAAAACAGGGTTAAAAAATACCTTCAAAGCTCACAAACGTACTATTTGTGTCTCGTGTTTAATCCATACTGCTAATGTCAGCATGCTAACATGTAGATGTTTATCTGAATTCATCTTAGTTTAGTTTGTCTGTCACAAACTAGGTTAATCTTTGGCGTTAAGCTGGTAACATGAGCAAAAAACATCAGAACTGTCATCACATTTGACCAATGTATTTTGGTTAAATCCTGATTGGTGCTGAGCGTAACTAAGCCCCGCCCACAGCAAACCATTAAGAAAAGCAGACACATATAGAGAGGCGAAGTTCCTCCCCTTCTGGGGACTTGCATGGGACCTTATTTCAGAAAAAGTATGTATTGAAGTCAATGGGGAGAGAAAGATTATCTCTCGATCCCGTTTGAATTGTGCCACGAATTACACATATGATGTTTGTCAATTTAAAAGATAATTTCCATGTCAAAAAAGTCACAGTTTGTCGTAAAACTGTTGAAATATAAGACTATGAAAAATACGCAACTAGAAAGACTACAAATCCCAGAATCCCAGTCCCGCATGCTGGCTCTTACGGAACCGACTAACTCCCCTTTTGTGTATGTACAGCTCTCAACATGTCCAGACTTGGAGTGATTTTCACCTCGTTTCATACTTTTCGCCTCATTCTGAAAGAAAGAAGTGAAATGTGCCAACGTGACGGCCGTCTTGGTGTGTGGTGCGAGACGGGAGATGTAGTTCATTGAGCGGTTTCACACAAACAAATGTGTTACTTCACAGTTTTACGACACATTTTTATTTTTTTGACTTTCAAAATTATCTTTTAAATTGACAAACATCATATGTGTAATTCGTGGCTCAATTCAAACGGAATCGAAAGATAATCTTTCTCTCGCCATTGACTTCAATACATACTTTTTCCGAAATAAGGTCCCATGGAGGTCCCCCGGAAAGGGAGGGACTTCGCCTCTCTATTCAAATGTATTTTAAATAACCAAAACTGTTCAAAAATGGTAGAGATCCTATTGCTCATTCTGGGAAATTTTAAAAGAAATGTTCAGGTAAATCCAGTGATAATTTAACTCGCTGCATTTTGGCTGTGAATTATGAAAAGAATGACGACCTTGACTTGTTGTTTGAATAAACATTCCTTTCACAAGAGCTGTTGTTTTTATACATTCATGATTTTATTTTTGTAATCTCATTTAAACACACCTATCAGTGGCAGCAGGAATGTGAGCAGTGAACAGTTTAGTGCTGACGAGGGACAGTGAAATCCTCCTGCACACAGCTTCCTGTGCAAACAGAGGAACAATCTGCTGTGAGCTGCAGGGAGAATGTGTTTTTACCCCTCAGACATACTTTTATTGGTGTTAACATATGGACCTTTGAGTCATTTTTAACTATGTTAGAAGTGTTTGCAGAGTATCCGAGTTCTGATAGGGTTAAACTAATGTGACCTCTCCCTCCCTGTTCTACATAATGTGCAACTCTCTCTGCACTCCTTATGAAAGCTTCATGTTTTGAGGAACATGATAAAAAAAACTACATGAATATTTGTTGGATATTTATCCTTAATGAAAGTCTAACCACATTAACTGCTCAGAGATGAATTACAAAATCCATAAACCAGTCCAACAGTTCATTTTGCCAGCTGGACGTCAGCGAGGAAGTGAATTAGACTTAAATGTTTTTTCGCTGAGCACAAAGGTCATATATTTTATTAATCTTCGATTGCGTGCTTGTGGTTAGAAGATTTGAGAGGGGAAACTTATTCCCATGCCAGTGACTTCCGGCTTTTCAACTTCTTATTCCTCTGTTGCATAAACATTAGCGTCAGACACAGCCCAGAGAGGAGCTGATGCTCCCCCCGATGGGAGGTTGAGACATCGTGGAAATGACTGTGCTGGAGCTTCTGCATTAATCTGAGCCAAGGAAAGCTGCAGTGACGCCGGCTCCATACGGAGTCATGTGAGGGCTGCTCTGTCTGACTCATCCCTGTCGGACACCATTAGGCTCTGAGTGGACTTATGCAGCTTCACACAGATCCTCAGTGTTATATAGAGAGGAGCCTAAGAATACTGTAGATACTGCAGCATCAGGTCTAAAACCACCAGACTCAGGGACAGTTTCATTCCACAGGCCACAAGACTGTTAAACACCTGAACTAAGAACATCCATAACATTCACCTGTTTGTAACTTACAAATGATGTATCACTTGTATATAGACTCTTATGGCACTTCTTCTATTCTATTCTATTTTATTGTATTCACTTGCACTATTTAATCTGTTTCATTGTGTTGCAATGTTGGAGGAGCCTGTGACCTAAGATTTTCATCGACATAACTACACTGTAGCTTTGTACGAATGACAATAAAAGCCTTGAACCTTGAACTTGAACATTGAACCTTCTCTGCAGCTTAAACACATTTTCTTGAAGGTTTAAAATATTATCAAGACAGGAAGAAGGGGGATAATATTTACAGAAAAAAGACTGAATTTTCGACAGGAAAGTAGTTCATTTCTGAGCAAACAATCGTGAGTATTTTAATTGTTGTTGTAAACCACCATGAAAATATCCGACCCCTGTAAACTCTTTATGTTCTTTCCTCCCTCTGTGTGCTCCACCAGGACATGGAGGAGCTGGTGAGGACGGACAGGCCGGACTGGCAGAGCGTCATGCAGTACGTCTCTCAGATCTACAAGTACTTTGAGACCTGACTGGGGGGGGGCAGGAGCTGGAGACCAATGGACCGGAGGCACCGCAGCACGTTTCTGTCACCGTCTGTCAGCACGACATCACCTGAACCCCCCTCCTGACCCCCCCCCCTGCTCACTGTCTGACACTAGAGACACGACTGAAGTCATTTCAGATGCTGATATCTCACATCTTAACGGGACGTTACAGTGAGCGCTAAGGCCGTCATTTACAAAGACTGCAGTCAGGAAACACATTACCTTGTTCATCATTTCACCCCAAAAATAAATAATACATGTTGTTCTTTTTACCTTTAGTGCTGTTTCTCAACCTAGATAGTTTTGGTGGGGATTGGAGAGTGTTGGAGATATCGGCCATACAGAGGTCTGCACTCTCATATATATTGGAACCAAATGGCACTCATCTTGTGGTGCTTAAAGTGCCAAAATGAATACATTTCACAGCAATTTATTTTTCCTGAAACCATGACCCGGTCAAGATAATAAACAGATTTTGTTGTTGGCGGTTTTATGTAGGAAATACTTTCTTCTACAGGATTACCGCTTAAAAAGAAGCATGAAACTACCCATAGCCTGAAGGCTTACGAATGGCTTCTGCCTCAACTGAGCAGCAACTTAAGCTAGCTTAGTGATGCTAGGTGAGCTAGCTTGTGCGAAAGAAACTAAAATAGTTCCTAAATACAACTGTTAAAACATTCTCTGTGGATTAGCTTGAGTGATAGGGTCATGATTTCTGCAAGAACGCATTGCTGTTGAGTTTTTCAAATGTTTGGTTCAATCACACTGGAGAGAAGGCAGGCTTCTCTATGGGTAATGATGCAACACTCGGCAACTCATAGCAAAACAATCTGACTGATAAATAACACCACAGGTAAAAGGAAAAATCTGTATTTGTGATTTTTTGGTGGACTTTCCCTTTAAAGTGTTAATTGAGCATCTGATTCACAGATTAAAAGCAGAATATGCTGTTGAATAGAAGCTGATGATAGCACTACTGAAGGAATATTAAGAACTTCTTTTTTTAAATCGTTCTATTTCTACTTTGAAATAATTGACAAGAAAACAAACTTTTTCACAAAACAATTTCTTTCCATTTTTGTGAATCAAATGCTCTGATATGGTCAAAACGTGCCAAAAACTGTATTCTGCCAGAGTGTCTATGCATGGGGAAACCTCATCTCTCCTTCACTGAACAACATCAGCAACAAGGGGAAAAGTGTGAAGACAAACTTTGGGTAAATGTTTTTCCGTTGTTTTAACGAATCGATCAGTTCTCATACTGAGTGCTTACTGTAGAGCTGGAGTTACTTAGCAGAGCAGAGAGTATCAAACTGACAGCTGAATCTTTTATATCCCCCACTTTTAAGTGTGTGCTTCCTTAAGAACACAAATCAGACGAACCATTGCTGCTGTAAGCGAAACAACACTAATAATGATTTAACACTCCGAGAGTTACTGAATAGTTTTGTAGGAATATATTTTATGGAATCAGATCTCTATGTTTGCATTGTCTGAAGGACTGGCTGAATCAAACTGTGTTCCTCCTCCATCAGGACTCTATGGTACTGCTGCTGCTTGGCAAAAGATACATATTTGGCATGCCATGTTAAATAATAAAGAGAGGATTACTTTTATATGTAAGAGTTGAGAAACAACACTTTCTGTGTTATGGTTTACATTTGCAGATGCCCTTATGGTTTGAAAAATGGCAAAAAGTGTTATTTATTTATTTACAAGACTTGAGAAGTGGGACTGTGGACAGAAGTCAGGGTCCAGTTTTCTATTTAAGGATGTCACATTTGGAAGTGTGTTGGATGGATATGCTCAATAAAGGATTGTCAAGTTTTATATTTCATTATTCACATTTGTATTATTATGTCAAGGTAAACAGATTTTCCAGAGAAATTATTCTAAAATATTGAGAGATGCTGTTTTCTGAAGAGTAACTTCTTGCTGTGATGGTTTAAATCCTTCACTTAATGCAGGAGAAAAACATATATATATGTGTGTATATATAACATATGTGCAGGACTTGATATATCACCAGTTAAACAATACCGACCTTACGACAAAGGTATTCAAACGTTCCCCTCGCTCTGTGCAGCGTTACCTCTCATCTGACTTCCCCACAACTTAAACACTGTAAATCACATCGACATTAACCACCAGTGGTGGAAAGTATCTAAGTATATTTACTCAAGTATTGTACGTAACCTTTTTTTGACATATTTGTACTTTATTTGATTATTTCCAATATGTGCTACTTTATACTTCTTCTCCACTATAATTCAGAGGCCAATATTGTACTTTTACTGCACTTCAATTGTAACACTCATCATAACTTTGTACACAAAAAACACCTAAGATATGGTATCATTTAGTGTACTACTAATCTACACAGGATAATAAACATTATACATTATCTGAAAAGTACTTTTACTTTTGATACTTGAAGTATATTTAGCTGATAATACTTACGTACTGTATATTATAAAAGATCATTGTGCAGAATGAGTATTTTACCTGATTGTAGGCCTACTTTAAGTATATTTTGATGCTTATACTTTTGTAATTTTACCTAAGTAACATTTAGAAATCAGGACTTTTAATGGAGTACTTTAAGACCATAGTATTTGTACTTTTACTTAAGTATAGTATATGAGTACTTCTTCCAACACTGTTAACAATAGGGATGCTCTGATCGCCAATTTTGGGGCCGATCGCCGGAATCAGTATCGGCCGATACCGATCGCCGATCCGATCGAGTGGGCGGGGCCTATTGGGATCTTCCATTTAAAGTGATGTTTAAAACTCAGTTAATGGGGCTCATTCACTGGCGCTTCCACAAACAACAACCAACATAATTATTACATTCAAATGAAGTACATTATTCAAGTTTACATTAACTTTGGATAATAACACGAGCGGAAGCGCTCTCTTTTCCTCTCTCCCCCTCTCTCTCTCTCCTGACAGCCTGTCAGTATCGTCTTCGTCTCATGCAGCTCACTGATCCAGTAATGAGTGACCCGACAGTGAAGAATAAACATATTTATAACTAGTTTAGCTTGTTCGAGGTAGATAAAATAGCTAAGTGTGTTAGGTCTAACTCTTAATGTGTGTTCTGCTCCGCTCACCGGTCCGTCACAGCGGGTGGAGCTGCAGGATTTCTGCGTCACCCACGTTGCATACCGCTATTTTATTGTCATGTTCAGACACTTAAAATACTGCCAAACTGGTGAAGCCATTTTGGCGAGCTTGTTTTGCCGCGCACAGAGAAAAGTGTCATGTATTTTACGTCGTTATCTTACGTTATGCGATCGGCTCTCGCGATCGGCATTTTTAGAGAGCTCCAATCGATCGGCAGCGAGTGAGTATCGGCCGATATCGATTGGCGGCCGATCGATCGGAGCATCCCTAGTTAACAACATTATTTAGTGGGAATGCTGATACAGCATTCCAACTATATGTTATGCTACGGACAAAAATTGTATTATTCCGCCGACTTATTTTGGCCCTCTTCTCCTCCCACATTCAACATCGCAGAAACTCCGTTCAAACATCAAAACGTTCAGCTCGGTCGGGAATCGCAGGCTATTACTTTTATCATTCATAACTTTCATAATTCCAGAGATACATCCCATAATTCATCACATTTGTAACCATTGAAGTCAATGGAGAAAATCTTCAGACTTGAACAATCTTCATGCGACTTCAACTGCTAACTGTTCATTCATACTTTCACTCAGAAACCTCATTCCAACTTTAAAATGTTACACATCTTTCTGACATTATTCGTGTAACACAACTTTTAAATCTGATTCTTACTTTTAGAGATATTAAACATTGTTCAGACCTTGTTAAAGAGGTTTTCTTCAGATTTCAACATTAACTAGAGTGTGTGATGTCACAGCTAGCAAATCTTGAAATTTGCCTTCATATATATTTTTAAAACTGCCATAATTCCCAAACCCTACATTCCTGAGACATAATTTTTCATGACAAACGTAGGAAAACATCTCGTAGCTTGAAAAATGACAAATAATTAAACAAAATAATTAAACAAAATGCCTCTTGAGGGCATGAAGTGACAAAAACGTTCAACATGTCTCCATTAAAACCCATTGTAATTTCAGGCTGATATTTCCTCACAGCAACAGCCGCACACCTTTAGTTAAACTGCCAAAAAGGCCACATTATTAACCCAAAAGTACACAAAAATTACACTTCAGATACTCAACTTCCTTGACATGCTGTTATGGTTCTTCCACAAAACGTTCACATGTAAGAGGTTTATCTCTCATTCAGAACAATGCAAACCTTTGATCTCTACAGAGCTCGTTAGCTCAACTATAAACACCTGTGTAATGGAACACGATGATGTCATCACTCCAACTGACAGCAGTCAGTTCTAACTGTTCATTTCATACTCACACACACACACTCTCTCTCTCTCTCTCGATACTCTCTCTCTCTCTCTCTCTCTCTCTCTCTCTCTCTCTCTCTCTCTCTCTCTCTCTCTCTCTCCCCCACACCCCACACCCACACACACACACAACACCCACACCCACACACACACACACACACACACACACACACACACACACCACACACACACACACACACACACACACACACAGACACACACACACTCTCTCTCTCTCTCTCACACACAATGTTCCAAACGGCCCAAACTTCACAGGTTTGGTAACGATGCAGCCATCAACGCATCTAAGCGTATTATGGGGTGTCATCAAATGCCGTTGCCATGGCGACAGATCATTCGCCATCAAGTTAGTTCAAAAGTTTGCAGTTCAAATATTCTGCTGCTTTTCCAAGCGTTTTTACTTTCTTTTCTTCACTCATCACACATTCAAGCCCCCAGTGTTCATATATCATTTCAATCTAAATTCTTCACTTTCTTCTTACACATTACATTTCAGCATAGCAGTTTAGCATCAGCTTTTCAGCATAAAGCATTCCCACTAGCAATTTCTTCAGGAATTGCATTCTCTAGTTTTATTAGAGGTACCACTTAGATATCATGAAAAGACCTCACACTTTATTAAGGATGCTACTGAGGGGGTCCATATCACGATGAAATAAAAATAACAAAATAAAAAAGGAAGGGAGAAAATATTAAACTTTATTTTATACAACACTACTAAGAAATGAATACAATATAATGGGTGTGACGAGAATAAAAGCATCGATCCGAGGCTTTTGTCGATAAAGTGCAAACTTATGGGCTCAGAACAGTCTCATAATACACACATGCACACAGAAGGATTCACACTTGTATTTCATGATCCGCAAAAGGATTCACACTTGTATTTCCGGATCCACACTTGTGTTTTTCAATGCACACACAAATGTGTTCCGTTTCATATACATGTAAATAAAATCCAAATACAGAAAAAAAATGTACATATGTATTTTTGATCCTTACATATTTGTTTTCCGTTTAAATCCCCTGAACCTACAAACACAAACCGCTTTCTGTGCATGGATCGCTGTGCATTCGTGTGTGGGTTTTTTGAGACTCCCCTGACAGTCACCCGATTCGTACTTGTAATTTTTTCTATCTATAGCCAATCAGATGTCTCCTTCGTTCTAAGCCAATCACATGAGCGCGTCCCCACGAGGGTAGGATTTATTGCGTTCATGACACTTCATATACGCATTCTGCGCTGTCCGGAGCAGGATTTCCGCGGACAGAATTTATTTTACCGGACAAATTTGAAACTTACACCGGTCATGTTTCAATAATAATAACAAGAAGAAGAAGAATTGTGTAGCAGAGTTTCCGTTAGCAGGTCATTACCGGACTATGACCGGATATGGCTAATTACACGGGATCATCTATTTTCCTCTCTCCCTCCCTCTCTCCTGACAGCCCGTCAGTTTCTCATGCAGCTCGCTAAAACTTCACTCGCGTTAAACTTTATGTCCATATCGATCAGATCCAGCTCTCCTGATCGGCCTTTATAGAGAGCACCGATCAAACTATTAAGAGTGAATATCGGCCGATAATGACCGGCGGGGCTCCCCCCCGTTGACAGTTCACTGTCTAGCACTGGCTTCGTAGTGCACTGATCGATTAGGCTAAGCTAACCTGTAGCTGCTCCCTCCACACTCACAACAACTTCATACAGACATAAATAAAGCAGCTGTATTCGCCATACAGGAAACACACATTTAAAACGGTTTTGCCTGCCGTTTTTATGTACACAAGCATTTATTAATGGTTCGGAAAGTGGCTCTATGTACCTTAATAATATAAAGGCTTGTATTTGCGTGCATTTCCTGCTCGGAAAGTGGCAATGTACTGAGAGTGGAAGTGTCCTGAGATTAGTACCTGCAGGCAGGCTCCATGGACCTATCAGCTCCGGACAGCGCAAAATGTGTACATGAAGCGCTACGTCATGAACGCAAGAAATCTACCCTCGTGGGGGCTCGCTCATGTGATTGGCTTAGAATTGAGGAGACATCTGATTGGCTATAGATAGAACAAATTACAAGTACGAATCGGGTGACCGTCAGGGGAGTCTCAAAAAACCCACACACGAATGCACAGCGATCCATGCACAGAAAGCCTGTTTGCCGGTGCAGCGGTTTTAAAAGGAAAACAAATATGTGGATCAAAAATACATATGCAAAACTTTTTTCTGTATTTGGATTTTATTTACATGTATATGAGACGGAACACATTTGTGTGTGCATTGACAAACACAAATGTGGATACGGAAATACAAGTGTGAATCCTTCTGTGTGCATGTGTGTATTATGAGATTGTTCTGAGCCCATACAACTTGCTCTTGTTTCCCAGCCTCTCTATAAAACTGAGTATC